TATATGGAATTAAGAAAAATATTTGTAATTAGGGGTGGGTCTGGGAGGGGTGTCCCCTCCCATAGGCTGAGAAAATTTTGAAATATGAGGTTGAAAATGGTGTTATTTCCTTGACTTTCTTAGTGCTGTTTATGATACCTTTTGGATGGTTTAACATCACATGGTATAGGTTAGTGTTTGCAGGGACTTTCAAATAGCATTCCCCTGGTGTTTAGTAGAAAGCATTTACTCAATAACAGCACAATGTAAGTGTGACCGTTGATAAAAATAATTTCAAATACTCGATCAATTTACTCATCTGAATAAAAGACGATTTTCCTAAATAAATTGTTATTAAAATACTGCCTTTCTATTGTTCAAAAAAATAATTACAAACATTTATATTCAATAAGAAGTCTTTCCATCAATGAATCCATTTTAGATTATGACTAAAGAGGTCAGTACTAATTTAAATTTTATTTGAAATATTTAACTGCCATAAAAAGTAAATAAAAGCAAATGACCAGTCTTTTCATCTTAATAAAAATCTTGATAAAACTAGTTATTAAAATTTGATTCCTTTAATATTATCTTTTCTTTCACAATCGCCACATTTTTAATTTTCAAATCATAATTTTCAATTTCTTAATTATACAGTAGGGCTTTCTCAAAGAAAATGGAGAAACAAAGATAGTTAAATATGGTGTACTATGTAAAACATCTATTTGCCACTATTTGTGACTATTAATTTCATTAGTCCTTTGGAAAGTAATAAACAAATCAATTATGCACTGAAGTCATTCAAGCATGTTAATAGAGAAAGATCTCTGCCAAGCCCCCAGGCAGGAGATTAACAACTGGATGACAGCAATAAATGTTTTGATAAGGGAGTACTCTACAGCCAATTAAGTATGAAACTGACAAAAATATATTCCAGCCCAGCTGGTAAAAGTATCTTTGGGGGGGGGGGGGGCTGCAGCCCTGAAGCCCGGGCCTGAATCCGCCACTGGACTCTAACCCCTCGACCACGGAGGCGGTTTCTATAATGATGTAAAAATTTATTCAGAAATAGAAAACTGCTCAAATAAAATGATTTTATGGATCTTGTCACTTGAGTGAATACCCCCTTCTCCTAGAAATATCAGAAACAAAATCACATCATTGACCTGACAGAAGCTAATTTCCATAACTTTGTCCGGCCCTTCCTGCATACGGGTGAAGAAGCGGATGTATTATATCAAACGTTTAACAAGAAAGTTTCTTGGATAATGTTGTACATGCATTATTCAAACTGATATAATAAACAAGTTAATATTAATGATACTCATGTTCCCAAAGATGAAATACTTTAACCAAAAATATTTCAAAGGTAAACTAGTGGCAAGAATTTATGGAAGCAATACATAATTAGGTTACTAGTAAACTGTGTTTTTCAGGACAGTTTTATTTTATGTGTTAAAATTTTTAACTCGTACCATGCAAGTTTTATAAGGTTTTCTCTTTTTTTTGCAACCAAAATTTTCATTAATATGTATGTCACTCAATCCATATCTTCAACATTCTGTCCAGAAAGAAAATGTTGGACTGTGAACAAAGTTCAAAAGGATGGAGTCATTTTGATATACCCTTGTTTGTTATGCTGTCCCACTGTCATGTCAGACTTCCTTACACTGACACAAAAGTGGAATATGGCTAAAATTGCACACATTTCTAGTTATTTTAAGGTTAACCAGATGAAAAATATCTTGAATATAAATCAAAAGGCAATTTCAGTCAAGCATTGGATTTATTCTCAGGCTAATTTCTGTGTGACATTTAATCTCAGATATTAAGTTTTTCATTTTTCTCTTTCTGCTTATAAAGAAATCATGTGGGATGAGATAAGTAGTTTGTCATTTCCAAAAAAATAATGGTTGTAATGGTTATTACTGTTAAGTTATTCAGGAAAGTAGGTTACCGGTATGTGGACTGACTGACAGTCAAGTTTTTGAAAAACACCAATACCTAACTTACTTAAATAACTCAATTTGTTGCTTCAATAAATTCTTTACACTCAGTTTGCAGTTTGCCTTTGAAATATTTTTAGTTAAAATAAATCATAATTAAAGAAATATAATGCCTGAATTGAAATTTTTTAAAAAATTATTAAAAAATAGTTCAAACTGAATTTTAATAAACTACAATGTGTGATTTGGACACACATTGTAGTTGTTTTAATATTTTTAGTGATCTGAATTAATTTAACTATCGAAATAATGCAATTGTATAGAAAAATTGATACAAATTTCTTCACATAGGCTTAAAAAGAGATGTTAATATTAATGCGAAACATGTGCATATTTTTTGCAGATAGACTAGTTTCACATTGAACAAATATAGCCTTTTAAGATAGAATAGTATGGCAAATATGTTTTGTGTCCTTAACTTTGCACAGGAAAAGGAAGATTTTAACACATAATGTGAGGACTATAAAGACTTTTCAGAATAAAAAGACCTTTTATGAAAAAATGTCAGATAGACTAGTTTCGCGTTGACCCCTCGAAATGCGATACGTGCAAGTTTGTAACCAAGGTTCAGCTATAAGACTAAGATATGTTTTAATGGAAAATTAAAATTGAATTGACCATTTATTTATGATATTTTTCCATATTAAATAGACTTATGTGATAATTACAGGCACGGATACACGGCAGGGAGCTGAAGGGCTGAAGCCCACTTCCCAGACACCCTAGCCTGAATTGTTTTCCTATAAAAAAAAAAAACAACGACATTTGAGAGTAAAATATGATATAAATCTAAGTCCTTGTTTATTTGAACCTGGACCCCAGCTGAGTTTCCTTTCATAAAATTCTTTCGGTCCATTTTACAATTAGTCGAGACTAAATACTATGGCTTAGACTAAATACATACATGCAGATACTAATTAGTTCTCTTGGTCAGTGTAGATGCAGTTTAAGCGGGATAATACTGAATGAAAGAGCAACTTATTCGTAGTACATTTACTTTTGAACTTTAAATAGCCCCCTATTGAATATTGAATGTGATGATGATTTTTTCGTATCACAAAATATATTCAGCATTTTTTTTCAATACTGAAACGCAAGTGATGTAAATTTAAATTATTTTAATCTTTTAGCACGCTTTTAAGGTCTAATGTAAAGAGGAAAATATTACTTCCTTATTAATTTTCTGTTACCAAACACGGAACAAATAAAATTTAAAATATAGGCAAGTTGACTGATGACATCACAAGCACCTGCTACCAGCATTTAGCAGATTTGCCGGTTGGCAAGAAGAACCAATATTTATATGCATTATATAGCACTAGAATTTTTAAATTCTAATAACTTTTTTATTTGTGAATCGATTTTTTAGATTCTTATATCATTTGAAAGTTTTTTACATTCATATTTTTGAAATGTAAGCGGATTTTCATTTTTTGCTTTTAAAAAAGAATGCTCAGCTATTTGTTAACTGTTATTTCAATAGTTTTCTAGCACCAAGTTTAACTCTTTACCAAGAAAAAATGAAAGCGTTTTGTAAATTTATTTTTTAATTTTTAAAATATGAGTAAAATGACCTTTCTAATGATATAAAATACTAAGCTGTTTCATAAAAAATAAGTTTGTTATTGTAAATATAAAATGCAAAATATAGTAATATTTTGCATTTTATTAGCCACCATATTTTTTGCCAACCACCCGAAAGTTACCTGTATATCTTATCAGCAATTTGTTACTATTAATAGATTTCATAACAATAACATGCAACTTGCCTATTGCAAGGTCTCATGTCACTTGTATTTGAAAAAAAAAGGCTGCAGTCAGATCGCCATGCCATTGATGTCTGCAAACTTTAACCTTGATCATAACGTTAGGTTGTTGGTGTATGTACCATGTGCACAGTATAAGATGTTGATCTGCTTACCTAGATTTTGACCTAATGATCTAATTTCTTGTCCTTTGATAAACAGCAAGTGGTACATGTATATTTTGAGAGTAAAGCATATCTTATTTTCATATATTAACTAATTGTTCGGATATACATCAATTTTATAATTATTATCAATTGTGGCAGGAAAACTTACACCATAAATGTGAACAATAACCTTTGGTATGTGGGTTTTTTATCAAATTCGCGAATCATTTTAAAAAAGCATTAACTTCATTTTGAAAAAAAATATACAGTAACTTTTTCGGTCACTAGATCTTAAACCCCTGAAAGCACGATGGCTGAAAAAATGGCCGTTTTCAAATTTAAAATTCTTGTTGCCAACCAACTATATTTTTTTGATTAATAACATGACAATCCCAATATTCAACAAGTTAAGCTGTCTCATAAAATTGGTACAAAATTGTAGGCACAGGTCATGTCAAAATCAATTCATTTATGCTTATGAAATTATTGAGGCCCTTAATGTATACTATTATATTGGGAAAAAGTAACTATTCAGTTGTAAACAAACTTTGGGTTTTTAGTCCACACAGTATTGGTCATATAGTGACTTTCTGGCTTTAGGTGGAGGAAGATCTTCATTATTTCAGGCACGAACGGACACCTGAGTCGAACCACCGACGTTTCAATAATCACCAGTACAGCGTCAGTACATGAAAGAAGTCCCATTAGGGATTCAAACTCATACCAGTGAGGGGTAAGTGATCTGAGGTCAACGAGCTTAACCACTCGGCCACGGACCATAACCGGATTGATCTGGTCCTCAAATGATTGCAATGCCAATATTTTTATCTGCAAAACATTCTCACGTTTTGCTGAATAAACTGTACGTTTTGTTATCAAGTAAAATTGAAATTATTGAAAAGATAGAAACAGAGAACCATTGTGAATACCGTCTTTGTTAAATATATGTAGATGCTGTTAATATTAATATCGGGGCATTTTCTGGAAATGATAACGTAATGCGCACAAAATATCAATGATAACGTACGGCGCATATAGAAAAGATATGTTTTTCAAGACAGACATAACAGGATGCAAAGAAACTGAAATAAATAATATAAGTGTCCAGCTTTATTTGTCATCCAATGAAAGCGCTGTATTTCTTAAAAATTCTTTGTGTCTATGAAAATTCATAGAAGAACAAAAGTCCATGATATATCAATGTACATTCATAGCATCCTTCTACTTTTCATTGTGTTTCATAGAACCGCGTTTGTGAAAATGGACAGGTATCGCTTTCGCTCCCTCGAAGTTTCTAATTTCTGTAGAACAACACGTATGAACACTAACATATACTTCGTAAACACTACTTTAGCGTAATAATTTTTAAAACCTTTCTTTCATAAAGATAAGCGCATGAGTGGTCTGGCATTAAAGGTTTCAGATGGGTTTTTCCGGCATTGATAAAAAAAAACGAAATCCAAATCCGATTTGAAACTTACGGATAGAAGGAAAATCTTTGTAATTAAGTTGTCTTTTACAGGCCAAAATTCTATAGTAATCGTTCCTAGAAGTAACAGAAGAACATTATACCTCTTATACCCCAAGTTAATAAAATATTCAAGTTAACATAGCGACACAGGTTTATTAGGTAAATAGTACCGTTCCTGCTCAAAGTCTTGAAATTTGAACACACATCCACTCAAATTTGGGTTTATGTTTTGAAAAGCTGGTTTGGGGTCAAAACTGAGGAGGCACACCCACTCTTGGTTCCAAGAAATTTTGGACTCGAAATTCTTCCTTATTTGGAAATGACAGCCATTTTTTAAGCTCACTTGAAAAATAGTTTTCGGGCCGACCTTGGTTCGACAAACCTATATTGACAAACCCTTATTTGAATTCCCAGCATTTTCCGAAGTAATATTTATCAGTTTTATGTTGTGATCTTCATCTTGTACTAAAGATCAAATTTGTAGTTCAAAAACATTTTTTTCAAATTACTTCAAACACTTATTTATCTAGTCAATAACTTTGACCAACGCACCTTGTTAGGTTTCGAGACGAGTATATAGACGAAGGTCTCCAAATGGAGAGCAGCATCCACTTAAACCATCTTTAAAGCCTAGTTCTTTACACACAACCTTCGCCGAAATTTCCGTGAAATTATCTCAACACAGTGTATACCAGGTGTCTTTGTTAAAAAGCACGCCGCCTTAATCTGTTTTGCGTGGATAGTTTAACTGAAATGGATACACATATAATACTATAAACATAAAACAAAAATATCTTTTGTGTAAACAAAAAGATATGTTTCGTACTTTATATAGGTTAACACAATATCATGAATACTTAGTGTCACTTAAAAAATTGGAAGTTTTTTTAAAACGGAAGGACCGAATCAACTTAACCAGAAATAGGCAGTCACGGTGTCAAGGGTATACGCATCATTTTCCGCGTATCGTCGGTTATTTATCATCCTGCGCGTAGTATCATTTTAGACAAAACACAACATGCATCTGAAATATGATCATTGAAGCTTATGTCTTCACCTAGTTTTTATCGAAGACTTGTACTATTTCTTTGTTTTAATGAAAACAGCTAGAGCTGGCTTGGGGAAAATGATCATTTGCAAAACTTTTAAAATGAGAAAATATTGTTGCCAACCACTATATTTATTTGATATAAATAACATTAAATATACACCGAATATTGCACACAAATTTAAGCTGTTTAAAGTCATAAAAGTGTGGTCACCGAAAATTGTGGCACCGCATCATGATGCGAACAATGGCGAATAATCTTATTTGTATTTATATATTGTTTCCCATCTGGGCGAGGCCTGTACATGTATATCTATTACAAATCGGAAATAAATGCATAAATACTATTCAAGTTGTAGAAGCAAACTTGGTTCTTTTGTGTGCCCCGCGAAAACACATATTCGAAAGAATTTGAGTATAGACTACTTTGTTATTAAAATCAGTTCGATTAGGACAACCAGAGTGCTAACTTTCTTATAGTGAAAATGTTTTGTATATTTAACACAAATATGCATATAAAATTGTTACCATTTTATACATACTCATTGAGATACGGAGAGAGTTTCTTAAGGCCACAACAGACGGAAGGATTTAGTTGTACAGCACAAATTTCAAATCAATACAACACTTGCATTCAGACGGTAATTTTACACTGTAGGAATCATCTCAGGTTTCCGCTAAAAGGATCCCTTTACTCACTAAATACTTTTTTCGCCATGATTGAAACACCTCCATTTAAAAAAAAGACTGACAGAGACTTAAACCTGGGACCCCCAGAAATACCGTACTGTGGCTCTACTGACTAAGCTATCCGGCCGCCTACAAACTACCTCCCCTCCCCTAATAAGAGAACCGTTCAATACCGTGACATAATCATTTTCGGAACAATTTGGGATTCGAATATAACACAACTTTTGGTCTCCCGAAGAGTTTTTCACCAACCTTACTACTATGTTTCCCTTTTAGCCCTGATTTTTCTGGAATTTCATTCATTGCACCCATTATCAGGAGATAATTTGGTTATCTGTTACTTATTATTGTGTGAGGTCTGTAGAAATCTGTACAAATATCTAAAAACTATCCCTTAAGGTTTCCGAATTCAAGAAATAGTAGCCTTCACACATTAAGATTTACCGTCTGTTGAGGCCTTAGAAAAACTTTCCTTCTCAATCCGTGCAATTCAATATTTGTCAATTATCATGTAAATGAAATGTGTTTAAACTAAAGAATTTGAGTATTTACATTGGAAGACCCGTGAATTCTAGACTGAAACGTCGGACTTGGAATTCTGGCATCGCTTGTCGAGGTGTAAGCTCGAAACCTGCCAGCGACCATGCCATGTTACCTTGAGAAAGAAACTTACATTGTTAGTTATCTATAGTTTTTATACTACAAGGCATGCCGACACAGATATGTTATGGATACAGAACGAGATTTCCAAAAGTGTCTTCTTACACTATATAAGAAGACAGTTATTAAGAAAATACGAGTAACGGCATCTGACTTTTTGGACGTTTAATTCTAAAGAACCGGTAAATTAATCAAGACATCGTATTATAAATAACGTATGTTCACGTTGAAAAACTATAGAAAATATTTGCATGGCTTTGGCAGTGAAAGGTGTAGTAAATTGTATTCGCTCACATAGTCAATCGGATATAATTCCCTTTCATTCATACAAACAATGCTAAAATGGCTGCCATCAATTAACAGAATTGACATTGAAATCGTCTCTAACTTGTTTTGCGTCAATGGACCCCAAATTTAGTAAGTTTCCTTATTCACATGCTTACCTTAACGCAATGTTTAGCCGTTTATTGCAGTTGATTTTTGTGTGTGTCGGGCGGTGGGTTCAGTAAATGGCACTTTAATGTTGTTTTTATAGAATGTGAGACGATACACATAAAAAAAAAGTATTGTACCATCTTCGAATGAACAACTGTTAGTTTTTCAATGCTAAAATCAACAGTTCAATGGCCATCAAATTTCTCGATAAACTGGATTTTCTCTTTAGATGCGCGTTACGCAGTTAAAATATCGCCTGTTAAGATTGACTAAATCTCAACTATTCGAAAAATAGGGATTGTGATTGTGAATTTTGAATATCGCCCTTATTAAAAATTCTACATTATAAAGGCTCTTGTTTTACTGTATAGCAGGCTCTTCTTAATAGATTAGAAGCGGTTTTAACATTCTCTTTCGAAGATTTCTCTTTAGTCACTGGTACTGTAAATAAGTTAGTTCTTGAAAAAACAAGTGAAAATTAAGTTTAATCATCGCGAAGATTTTAATATTTCGATTCGCACGAGGATTTAAGTTAAGCATGAGACAAATTCAATGCGTAAAATCTTGGCACTTTATTTATAAAATACAGAAAGGCGGACAAAACTTTTCGAAAAAATCGTGCATGTCAATAGCCCCAAGAAACAAACCTAAACACCATTGATAGAAACTTATGCTGTATAAAAAGTATTATCATTGTTATTGATATACGCTAGTGAGTTAATATGTTTGAATTTTTATGTAGCAAAAACTGTTGTAACTTCATTATATATTTCTTTGAAGATTCTTATTATAGACTGGTTTTATTTGGGAATTATGTTCATCCTTACGGCATTTGTACAAGCAGGTAGTTGGACTAACTTACCTATTTCGAGTATGCTGAATTCATTTTTTGCTCTACCACGGCTGTCCTTGACCTTCAAAAATCAAATTCAAAATGGCCCCAATTGAATTTTTTATTTTTACCTTAATTATCCTAAGGGATAAATACACATTTTTGGGCATTTTCATTTAAAGTTTTGTTAATTGTAAAGTGTTGTCTGCTGAAGTGAGACCGAGAAGAAAAGATGCAAAAAAAATATTGCGGGAGCCATCTTGGATTTCAAATGAAAAGTAAACAAGCGCAAGAAGGCTTTCAAAAAGTTGGTCCGTACATCACTTCATTTTTCTGGTCCTTAAGGATCATTGTGTCCAGCACTTTAAAGTGCTCAAGCCGGTGCGAGGGATATTGCACTTTTTCATTCTCCCAAATGTACAGACTCAGTCAAACCGAGTCTGCAATTTCCATGTAATTAAATGCTTCCAAGAGATCATTTTTTTCCAGATATTTTTAATAGGCTTGTTTTCAAATATTATATGTGCAGTCACACTTATTATGACTTACAAGCGCAGACTTAGAAAACTACAAACTTTATCACCATAAAATATCACCGTAAAAGGTCTTACTTATACCAAAATACATGATTGTATTTGCGTTTGTCTTTTAGATGTTATGTATATACTTCTAAGAATACAATACATGTTCTTTAAAACTAATGCGATAATTTTTTAATTGTTTTGTATCGGGGGAGTGCTCAAATGTATGTCCGTCTGTTCCGTCTGTCTGTTCATCCGAACTATTAATCATCCGATAATTTTTTTTTATGTCAATGTCTATTGCGCAAGGACGTGTAGTGCCTGATAGCCAAGTCAAATGGTCATGTCTGGCAGAAAGATAATTTTGTGGATAATCCGGTCAACAATTTGTCATTCACGAATTGATACATGTATTAAAAAACACGTCTTAGTATTTCAAAAGTAGTAGGAATCGCCATTAAGGCTAACATTCGAAAAATATTTTTTCATGATATAGACTCCTTCCTTAACAATTGAGTTAATTCTTTTAAGAGAAATATCGTGTTTATCGCATAGTAGACTACAAAGTTAAACTTCTATAAGATTGATATAAACGTGAACAATGGTTTATAATTTTTGAATTAATTGAAACAGTTTTGCATAAATATATCGCACATTGAGACAATGAGACACACATCAGTTGATGTTGTAGATCAAAGACCAAAGTCATGTTGTCACTTCGAACAAATAATTTCTAAAAGTCTTGTCACGGATGAATTAAAAAAAGTATTTGGAATAAATGTGCCTCTGTGTAAGACAACATGTAGGGAACAAAAGTTCCAAGATCACACTAGAATGCCAAAAGTAAAAATAGGAGAGCGCATTGGTGGTCATGTCAGAGTCAGCAAGAGCTAAAAAATACGTGGTACTTTGAAACAATGTGTCCTGTTTTTGTTTGGGGTCCTCATGTGGTCCTTGTCACTGGTTCTTGTCGTTGTGTCGTGTGGGTGTTGCTTTCATTTCACGTCGCCTTTCCTTGTCGATCTTGTTTATATGATATTTTTAGTGAAAAAACAAATGTCACATAGAGATAAGGACCACATTTCAGGTCACTTTGATTGCTATGACCGGTCATGAATTCTGTCTTTCATTGGGTGGATATTGGCACAACTTGGCATACATTTGTGGTACATTAGGTCTACTTGTAACTTTTAAACACAAGGTTGACAGCTATATAGGTCAATTTAGAACATGGATGGTTGTGTCTATATCTTTGTCATATGGATGCTTTTAAGATAATAGGAAATACTGTAAATAAAAGTAAAATCTTTTTAATGTTTCTATTTATGTAAGACATGCCCTACGATGTAAATCAAAGTTCCAAGATCACACTAGAATGCCAAAAGTCAAAATAGGAGAGTGCATTACATGATTGTCAGGATAATGCAAAAAAAGTTTGTTCACATTTTAGTCACTAAAATTACACTAAGAATTACCAGCAAATGACATTGGGAAATTCGTAATTTAATAATGGAATAAGATACTACCCTATCAATTTCTTGAAAGATAGCAAAAGAACAAAATAAGTATGAAAATTTAAATTTTGTCACTTGAGGGATTTTTAGAACATGAGATAGATTAAGGTGCAGCGTCTTTGGCAAAGTGGCATAAAATGAAATTGAAATAAGACATTGAAATTATTTCATGAAATCAAGCTGACACTTTATAAAGTAGCTACACTTAACGAAACTTATAAGTACCCCAGTTATAGTTTTCAGCATAAATTATGATTAACGCAAATATTTAAAACTTATACTGTGTAAAGTTTAATCATATTTTTAACATTTCATAACAAAAAATTCATTTAAAAAACTCAAACTTAACAAAAAAGATCATAAACCGAGATCACTACCAGTACACAAATTCGCACCAGAGTCTTACATGTATGAAGTCAATATCGCGTATGTCCACCGTTTGTGTTAATTACTGCTAAGCACCGTGATCGCATTGACATAATGAAATTTCTAAAATAAGCCACTGGGATATTAGCCCATTCTTGCATTAGTCGGTTGTGTAGTTCTCTTTGGTTGGTGGGGGCATTCGGGCCTCTGTAGACACGCCGGTCAAGTTCATCCCATATGTTCTCAATCGGGTTGAGATCGGGCGACTTTGACGGCCAGGGCAGTACGTTGACATTCTGCTGTTGCAAGAGTGCCCGTGTTGTGCGTGCAGTGTGGCTCGTTGCCCCGTCTTGCATTAGTGTCATGCCCCTGTTCTGTTTAATAATGGGAATGGCAACGGGCGAAGAATTTCGTTCTGGTAACGAGCTGCATTTAAGTTCCCTTGAATTGCAACAAGTGGTGTTTTCACGTGGAGTGAAATTCCAGCCGGAGCCGCCGCCGAACTGATCTCTTTCTACGACACACGCATCAGCATAACGCTCACCACGTCGGCGGTACGCACGGGTTCTCCCATCATTTCCCAGAACATTGAAACGGGACTCATCGGTAAACTGTGCCCAGTCCGCACGTGTGAATCACAGATGAGTCCTCGCCCAGCGGACATGTGCACGACAGTGGTGTCCACGCAGTACAATTCCCCGATACGGCCGTTTGGCACGAATACCAACGGATCTGAGGCGCGATCGGACTGTGTTGCTGCTGATTGGCCGTCTGTGAGTCCCAAATGTCGCCCTTGCTTGTTTCTACTGCTGTGCGCTTCCGCTGGCGGAGGTTCGATAAATCCATAACCGGTCTTGTCTGCGTGTTGTCACTCTACCACGTGGTCTCCTCGGAAGATTGGCGACACTTCCGGTACGTCTGTACTTTGAGGCCAGTCTAGTAATAGACTTCTTTGTAACATGCATTCTTCGGGCAACCTAGAAAAAAACCCAAAGGATTACAAGGTTCATAATACTGATATGCAACGGGCTTGTCGTAAAATGCATGCACTGAAATGCAATAAAACGAACAATGAGTATTGAACCACATACCTGCTCATGAGACGCTCCAGCTTCTAAAAGTCCAATAGCGATTGCACGTTCTTGCAACGACATACGAGCCTCGTTTTGTGTTTTTATGTTAGGCACATCTACACTCTTTCGATACATGTTTATATTGGTCATTATGGTCAGTTGCACGAAGTGCACGTGCTCGTTTTCGATTTTCAACGACTACTCTCAAAGTATGGTTTTCAGGGCTGGGAATCAAAACTGCGACGTATCCTATAAAATGTAAACAAACGCCGCCATCTTGGAACGAAAAATGTATGTTTTTGTTTATAACTCTTTTTGTTGGAAATGACTGAAAATGTATTAACACGCTACACTATTTTCCTCTTCGTGTGGTATATGTTGCTTGCACAACTATTTTGTAAAACAAAAGTTATAGCGAACTTGCAACTCGAAGCGGAGCAGAATTTTTGTGAAATTGTGTGGATACGACGCAGTTTGTATCATATCTATCGTTTTTTCATTCAAATCAATTATATATTTGTTTCAGAGTTCACCATAAACTTCAAAACATAATTTTGCATCATTTACAAAACTTTCATTAAAAAGAGATGTTTATATTCCAAGAAAATAATGATTTTTACGAAATGATACGACGCAGTTGAAAATAAAATATGATACGACGCAGTTGTATTTTCATTGCAGGCTGCATATTGTTTAAACTATTTAAGTTATGTGCTAGGTATGCTAATAACGTCCAAAAACATTTCTTGTTTACAACTTAAGTCAAAAGCAGAGGTCACTCGTTGGTTCCATAAAAATGAAAATGTAATACAATTCTATAAAGGCTACATTTTTCGGTCGCATTTTAGCATCTACAAATTCCGGAAAGCTGTATCAAATGCAATATACATTTAAACACGTGATCGCGCACACCCATATAACGTGTTCCAGTGTTGCCTTAGCATACTTCTAAAATTGTCCCCTCGATTTAGAAATGGGAGTGCTTTACTATTTTTGATACAAAATTCAATATTCCAGTGTAACCTCTCCTGGACCCTGCATTAATCAGGATTGACCTTCGTTTTGTAAAAAAAAAAAGAGAGAAAGAATTAGAAATTTTGAAAAGGTCTCTTGCTATCGGAAGAGAGCTATGTGCAAATTGCATGCCTACCTTTGTTACTTGTAATTAGTAATAATTTCCGTCAATTCCGTTATAAATTATGTCTTTTACGTGCCGATTTTATTGTATTCATTTTCTTAATAATCGGTGAGAACAGAATGATGAGCTTTATAATTTGAAACTGAACAATAAATTTTTAAAATTACATTATAAATGGTTAAGCTACAATATATTTTTGCAAGTTTAGTTCGTTTAGTCATTTTATGTTCAGCGCCGCGGAACTTTACCGCTGATTTTGTCGTATTGCATTTCTTTATCGCCGATGAAAGGTCTTCAGAATGAATTTTCTATATTTGCACTTAAGTATCATGCATTCTTTTCTAAAATTCTTCTTTAAAAAACTTTAAATTTTCAAAATCGAGTTACATAATTATGGTGCAAGTACAAATTATTTTGTAAAGAATGTGTCCGTTTTGAACAGAAAATTAATGTCAGATTATCGCATCGATTTTTCAACAGACTAGAGACATGGCATCTTAACATACAAAAGTGTGATATTTATTTGGTAATTAATTGCCTGAAAACTTAAACAAAAGTATTCAGAAAATGACTTCACAGAGAATTACCCCCTGTTAACATTGAAAATTTCTCTGCTAGTCATACAGAAATAAGAAATTTAAATGTTATTCTCTTTATAATTAATTCAAAAATTTATAATCTTAAAAAAAGCTGCTTATTTGTACAGCTGACGTTAACACATTTTGTTAAAAAAAATCAGACAGGTTTGTCCGACCGAGGCCGAGCAACTTGAATTCAAATCACTAGAACTGAACTGCTATGAACTCGAGAACCACCAGGGACTTTTTATTCTTTCGTGTGGAAAACCTATCTAGCTAGTTTCAAAATGTCGATGGTTCTCTGCAGATGCAACATTTTGCCTGAAATAATGCACAAAGGTCCTCGCTCCTAGTAAAGCTAATGTGTAGTGTGAAAGTTTGAAAAGAAACCACAAAAAAGCAGTCATTACCCCAGAACATGCAGAACCACAATTAACTTAGAGCGTAGCTAGCCAAAATGAATTCAAGTTAATAGATTTCTACATTTGTTTGCGAAAAAAATTAGGGATAATATTGAACATACAGGAAAATATAAGAAATTATTTCAGATATTATGATCAATTAGGTAACATGTTCATGTTTAACTAAAAAGTAGCTTCCGCAATGTAAACTTTCAAATTAAATGTTATATTGGACATGACACAATGTATTCTCAATAATCAAAATCAACAGAACATTGCTATACACCGCAAATGATTTTGTTTTTTTTCTAGCGCAAGTGTTTATTACATAAAATAGAAGTATATTGCCAAAATTATCCCTGTTGAAAAGACTGCCAAAAATACAACTGCGTCGTATCATATTTTATTTTCAACTGCGTCGTATCATTTCGTAAAAATCATTATTTTCTTACAAAATAAACATCTCTTTTTAATGAAAGTTTAGTAAATGATGCAAAATAATATTTCGAAGTTTATGGTGAACTCTGAAACAAATAAATAATTGATTTAAAGGAAAAAACAATAGATAAAGCAACATGAACTGCGTCGTATCCACACATTTTCATAAAAATTCTGCTCCGCTTCGAGTTGCAAGTTCGCTATAACTTTTCTTTTACAAAATAGTTGTGCAAGCAACATATACCGAACGAAGCGGAAAATAGTGTAGCGTGTTAATACATATATCTGGTTATCAGTCATTTCCAACAAAACAAAAACATACGTTTTTCGTTCCAAGATGGCGGCGTTTGTTTACATTTTGTAAGATACGACGCAGTTTTGATTCCCGGCCCTGGTTTTGCATGGTTAATTTTGCATGAATTCATTTTGAGCAGACGACAAATTGGGGCATTTACATATAACCATTATCTAATGTGCATATTTTTAAAATAACACGTGTTTAATGCAAGTTTGTTTTTGGGGTAAGTTTCGTTAAGTGTATATCAATAACAACAATAAAAACATATTGTACAAACAGCCGCGATGTTTGAAGATTTCACAATTCACGGCCGGGTGCTAGGGGGTGTTAAGATGGTGGCTTTCAATTTTCAATTAAACCGAGCCTGCAACATTTTCAATTTTCAGTTTTGAATTCTGTTTTTGTTTTGTTTTTCTATTTTAAACCTGGTCGTTCAGCAGATGTTGTTTGCACGCGGCCGTGGTTCGCATATATACATACTTGCTAGCCGTTGAAATTATAAAATATTTACATACATACCTGGACTCTTGACCTTCAAATTATAAAATGAGTTTGTGTTCCAAATGTTATTTTATCAAATCATCTAATTGTAAATTAAATTTTTATGGTTTATGATAGAACTGTCATAGATTAATTTTCCATAAAGAATGACATGTAATAGCTTGAAGTAATGATGCAATTTACAGCATACCTACACATTTTGAGTTTCTACATAACATATATCATTATTATATCTTTGATGATTATTTACTGAATGATCCATTTGTTTTAAAGCACTTTACTTATATTTGTTAAAAAAGATGTCTATTTTGAAATTAAAGATGGCCGCCATGTAAATCATGTATCAGCCAATAATGCCTAAAAGTAACTGAAACTTAATTCCATGTAGATGAATAAACAATAAAAAAAAATAAATAAAACAATAAGCTTTAAACACAGAAATAATAAATTAATCAGTGGATTGTTTTGATTTCACCTTAAGAAGGTCAAAGACTTCGAGGTAGAGCAAAAAAACCCGAACTATATAAAAATGATTGACTACCTGCTTGTACTAAAAAATACCGTTAGACTCTAAACATAAGGTCTTTTCTGAAAATCAAACCCGTCTTTTACACATGGGGGGCACTGTTCATAATTGTTTGAACTGATGTACCATTCTTGACTATGCGAAAAGCGGAAACTATTTTACTGGCATGAGTTTATGAAAAACTGTTAAAAATTATACTTTTTAGAACAAAAGAAACGAAAAGCTGATTCTTAAGAGTCTATTATCCTTACAGTTTAAAAAAAACTTTTCCCCCTCATTGCATTAACAATTGGTTCAAACTTACTTTGCGGCATTGTACGCCATGCCCGTTTGGTATCCTTATTCTCTACAAGCAACATGAGCATCGTTATCGTCCCATCCAACCAAGCAAATACTCCCATCAATGCCAATGTATGTTATAACAAGATTACCGGCATAGGAACTAGTATCTGTTGACGGTAAACTCAGCTTGTACTCTGAAATAAATGATGACCATACTAAAGTTGTCAGTATCATTTATTAATTAATGTTTTAATTACTAGAACATATACTTTATTGTACAGATTATTAAGTTTAGAGACTTGATTTAAGACTCACTATGTAATTGTACAATATACCTTAGACATCGATATTGTTTACCTTTTGATATTGTGTTGTTTATTTTGATATTGTTTACCTGAATTTGATAGTTTTTACACAACGGATTGTTGTTTTCGGATATTTGAATTTTATTTCAAAATTGTTCATGTATTAAGCTTTCTTTACGTTGTTCACCTGTTATTTTATTTTGATGTTTTAATTTGATAGTTAATATTATATTTTTAAACTGCGTTAAGTTTGATATTATTTACCTGTAGGTCCAGTGATGCACGCTGTGGCAACATAGTCTCTCGAGCAGTCTTCGTTACCAACATCATCATGCATGCAGTCTGTTAACCGTTGTTCATCTCCTGTACAATAAAAGTAACAGTCTTGTTTTACTTTTGTAAACTCAGTATCTACAGATAGATAAGTTGTGGTGTTGGTAGTGTTGGTAGTTTTTACTCCGGATCACTGCAGTTAGACACATTGAATTTACCAGAGCACTGTTCAGCCACCTAGGCAGGCAGTTCCTTGGCAGGCTGTCAAGCTGTTCACTTTCGCAAGGAACTGATGCAAGAGCAGAGGTACAGTGCAATTGATTTCACATGAAGGATTTCACATGATCAGTCACAATGAAACGAATGACTTGATGATGAATCGGGGCGAATGACAACAGGTGTGGCAATCAATGCAAATGGCCAGAAAATATTTGTTTCGCAAGTAACGATTACAGATACTGACGCGGCTGTATACGACAGACTACGCTGGTGGCGAGACTTACCATGCGGGGTCCGGCTCCTACGGTGCCACGGACTTGATCAGAAGAATCTATCTTGATGTGCCAAGCCACGTGGGACCCTCAGAAAACCAGTGGTAAACTAGGAGATATTGCTGGAGTCGCGTGTTATCCTGCTGTGAGACTAGTGGGAGGTGTCCCTACATATTATGGTGTTTTATTTACAGCAAAAGGTGTAAATAATGGAACGGTGATAAAGGCTTTGATAAGGTCGATGCAGATCACTAATAAGAAACATTGGAAATGTAATTACCAATTAATAATTGTAATTACTTTTAATTTTCTTGCATTCCAATTGTAATTATGTTCACATTTTTTCTTAAAATTTATGAATATCTCCCTCTTTTTAAAAATGCCTAGCTTTATTGCCTTTATACTTCCGACAATTTTAATGTCTAAGTCTAAGTTTAAGAAAATTTAGATCTATCCTAAAGCAAGGGGTCCGTCTCACGTGACCTGTAACGTCAAAAATGACATTGAGTTGAATGGCGGCAGACGTTCAAAAACTATTCCTATTCATATTTTCCAAGCTAGTTCCCTTATTTCGAAACCAACTTTTAAACGTTTGGAAGCATTGCAAAGTGCACAATTTTCTTTTTCCCCTGATATAAAATTTCAACCTGAAAAAGAGGTAGTTCGAAACCATTCGAACCGCGGCTTTGAAGTGATGCACAATTTTAGATGGAAAGGGTGATTTGGTGTGAACCATTATTGAATTATATCGGCCCTCTTTTTGATGTTTTTATTATCCCTCATGTGCAGACTTTATTTATCACATAAACCGCAGTGCAGGAGTGTAATATAGCCATTTAATAAAAACGATATTACACTAGACGATAGTATTACACTAGTGTAATAACACTTTGACGTCACGTCATTTGCACTATAAACATAGCGTTAAAGCGCGCTAATATAGCGCGTTACAGTATAGGCGCGTCAAAGACTTGAAAACAGTTTACCGTTCTTATTTTATATATGTGATAAATAGAATATTATATTCGTGTAGATTCAATACTAAATTAATTGAACGAGTTGAATAAAACAATATTATGCTCGCCAGAGGCTCGCACAATATGTTTTTATTCAACTCGTTCAAAAAATTTAAACCTACACTTATTCAATATCCTCTATATAAATATATCAATATATCAATATAATATATCAAGTGACCCCTGAGTCGGGGCCAATATTTAAACCAAGATACATGGTTCATATCAGTTTTGTAAAGGCAATGTTACATGCTCAATTTCTTAGCTAGTGACATTGACACTTAAATGTGTTTTCCTACATAAGTATATATAAATCAAGTAATCCAATCCGACGTGTCGGAACAGCGAGCGAAACGATAGAGATTTCCGTCGCCGTCGGTCCTAACAGTGAGCCTTGCTGATATATGTCGTCGACAAATCCCATCTCTCGGCAAATAATAATGACATCGTTTACAATGATATTGCTGTCACAAACCAGCAAACCACGTGAAACTTGACGTATTGTACATTTTCAATCGACCATAATTAGTCGTCGTGGAGCCGGTAAGTCGAGCTGAAAGTAAAAGAATCGGTGAAATGATTTTACAAATGGATTTAACACAATAAGGTTATTGTTTAACAAAGATATATACATATGTACAAATGTAATTATTAATTATATCTTGTTTAAAAAATTGATATAAAGTTCATCGCAGAAATGTGTTTGTGAAGACATATATGCCATATATTTTTACTTTAGTTCAAATCATATAAAAATCTGTGAATTAAGTAATAAAAAAAATTAATTAGCAAGTTTTCAAACTAATTTAACTTGAATTCGGCAAGTCAAAATATAAAATTTTGTTTTGTATAAATATTTTTTTTTTGTCTATTTTTCCATTATCCATTATTCCATTATCATACTGTTATAGAAGAACGTGGCCGCGGCGTCCTTAGTGTGATCACAGCGTTGACGCGCCTATAGTATAACGCTAACATTTAGCGCGTCTTTACACATATACAGATATAAACTGGTTTCGTGAAAAGTACACTTACTCGTTTGTCACTGCCTTGACAATGTTCAAACGGAGTCCAGAGACGTGTCCCTTAGCGTCGTTGTCATCCCATTCTGTCGGACACACTTTTCCTGCGATGCCATAACTACCGTAGTAATTTTTTGACAGTGAAAACGTATAGCCTGAAACATAATTCAAAGAACTGGATGGAATGCATTTCGTTTATTTACCAATACTTAACCAATAAGATATTTCCTTGAATGAAATGTCCGAATTAAAAAAAAACAAATTTGGCCAATCAATGTCACTTTGAGCTACTTAGCTGAACTTTCTATAATGTCTAGAAAAAAGAGCGTTGAACGTTGTAACAAATGTATTATAACTAATTTCGAAGAATTTTAAGACAGATAAACATGATGTATGCTTTAACTTAACAATATCTGTAAAAGAAAGAAAGAAAATTAAAGATCATACCATCTGATGATTCAGATGCCCTACATATAAAATTTTCCACTGCAAGTTATATTGTAAATCCATGACCTAAAAAGGAGAAAATGATTCCTTGCTATATAATTCTTTCTGTCTCGCAAACTAAAGCTTGCAGTAAAAATCTGTAGATGATCACACATGAAGACACTAAGCTTTCTTTGCTAAAAATTACCTGTGCTGAAATTTAAAATGAATCAAAATTTATTTATGTTTTTTTTTTTCAATCTGACTATAGTTTATGTATTGTTATGGATGAAGATCTGATTTCCATGATGATCGTATATGTTAGTATTCAGTATTTTCATATGGGAATAAGTGTGTGCATTTTTTTATAATTTCATAGCAGTTTGAACTTGTAACAGGAGGCTTAACCCAATGAAAACAGCCATTTTTCCGCAATATGCAGTAAAAGGTTAAGACGATACCGGTATAAGCTCTCGGGCCAATATTGTGTCGATATGTTTCTTAAGGCAAACTTGCCCTGTAAAATCCTATTATTAATGTCATCTAAATATGTTTTTTTGTTCTTCTTTTCAGAGATGGGTCTCCTTGATCACAGTCAATTTTGATGGTTCTACCCTGCTCCCGACCCTACCGCAAAGCAAAATTGCTCGATTCAATTTTTTTTATATTGGTAATATAACTTCTATAATATAAAATAATATAATTTCTAACGATTCTACAGTATCTTTTCTAGTGAGCAGCGGATCGTTTAGCGGTAGTTTAATCAACCCGTAATACTTTTATGGCTTTTAGAGCTACACAAATACCTCTAGATATATAAAACCTGTTGAGATAAATGAAATAGCCATTAGTTTGGAAAATATCGTCGCTGAACTTACCTTCGTAAGTATGGGATGAAAGTTCTCATAACATCGAGCAATATGATACGGTATAACGAAGTGATAATAAACGATAATAATAATACAACGATAATACAACGCTTGAGCCACTCAAATTTGCTTTCTTCGTACTCATCATGGTCCAATCTCGATGACATCGTACCAAAATTGGTACGATGGCGACACGACGATATTGCGGGGTATTCGTGACAATCGGGAATCTTCGTGTTTTCTTCGTATTGTCTTCTTGAGGCAATTTCACCAATGGTCACACGAAGTCTTACGTACACGATTTTTGACAAGATGGCTTCACGGCGGCCTTTCGAAGCGCAAAATTGGCATACAAACTCAACACAAAAATGAACCTTCGCAATGTCTTCCGGCAATTTTTTGGCAAGCCAAACATTTTGGGACCGCTCACAAAGTTGCTGCTGGAACCTTTAAAAATTAGCCGGGGGTCACACGATGGCAAAAGATGCTCTCACGAATGACCCGATGTTATAACGATCAGATCAGAATTTGAACATTTCCTTATTCGTTTGATGATGCCAAATTCGGGTCTGCATAATCGAAAACTGGATACGTTATTCGGTTAAGAACTCAAATCTATGTAAAAGAAGAAGAATCTTATATTTGTAAATTAACAGTCATTCATGATATAAACAATAACTTACAAGTTAACTTACATAGCAAAATGAAGTGGCTGCAAGTATTGCTTTTCTTTTATCATTTATTATCATTTATTTATGTACTGAATTCAGTACATATGATCCACATTCATACTTTACTATCGGTATATAAATTTATTTATCATTATTTCAGCTGTCCACCAAGCGTATTGATGTGTAAGATTTGTCAATATATAATGTGTATGTACACGGGTATTTGACCATTCGAGGTACTATATGTTCACTACACAAAGACGGACTGACACGGTAATCGGTAAAAATGGAATAATAATAATAATGAGCAACGTGGCATTGGACACATTGAATTTGGAACCAAAGGAAGTTTAACTCGTGACAGAGAACAGTACTCGCCTCGCCTTCCAGAACTTAAAAAAGCAGACGAAGTATTTCACCAGAAGTTAGAAGGAACTCACCAAGGAAGCCAAGTGAGTTTCAATCGAGAGATAGTCGAGAAGGACAGGAGTGTTCCACGATAGACGAGGTAAGTTCCCGGGGCCTGAACGAAGTTTTTGAAGCTTTTAATTGATTTAGAAGTTTAAAAGCTGTTTCAGAACTTTTAAAGAATCATTGTATTGTTGAGGTTCCATTTACACCACATATTATCAATCCATTGTTTCCATTAACAGTTTCCATCAACAATTTAGGAAAAAAGAGATTGATTTTAGATTTGAGAAAAGTTAATGAACATAAATGGAAAGTTGGACATTTTACACATGATGGGTATATGTTTAAGTTCGATTTAAGTAAGGGCTACCATCATTTAGACATTTTTTCCAAGTCATCAAACGTTTTTTTAAGTTTTTCAGTTAAGGGGAAAAACTACTGTTTTACTCTTTTACCCTTTGACATCAGTATTGAGGGAAATGGTTAAATACTGGAGATTGAACGGAATAAAAATTGTAATATTTTTAGATGATGGTTGTGGTAGCAACAAAACTTTTGAGTAGACTGAAGCCGATTCTTATTTTGTGTATCTCTTTAGATGGCAGTTTTTTTTAAAGAAAAATCAATATGGATCCCAGTTCAAGAATTGGAGTGGATTGATATTTTCTGGAACAGTGAAAAAAAAATGTATATCCAATTAATGATTAATAACTTAACTCTCAAGTTATTGTTGGGTTGTATCTGCTAGACATTTAGCGAAAAAGTAATTTTTATGATGCCTGTTATTGGAAATATAGCAAGACTGATGACTCTGTACTTGTATCTAGTAAGTCGTGGGACTTTTGTTATAAATTACCATCAAATCATCCTTGCCTTACTGGTTGAAAATTTAGAGAAGTTAAATGTCAGAAAATTGTCGGCTTACAACCAGGTACAGACTTTGGTATATTCTGATGCAAGACATTTGTCATGTGGCTCTTATATCGTTGACTGCAAAAACAGTGTGTTCCATAGAGTTTGGAATAATGAAGAAAAGGCTAAATTAAGAGCAGTTTATCTTGCTTTACGAGCTAATGGAAGTTTTAGCATTCAGTGGGTTCCACGTGAGCAGACGACATAAGTAAAAAAATATATAGTTCGAATTTTTAAATTTTATTGATCAAATTTTTATTGATCCTCATGAAATGGTTTGCCAGCTAAATCGCAAATTAAATCGGTTTAACTCTGTTTTATGAATATAAGTTTGAGGCAATCGATGCTTTTACACAGTCTTGGTCAGGCTGCAATAATTGGCTTGTGCCACCTATATCTTATCTTGTTTCTAGAACCATATTTCACATTGTAGCAGTTCGTCATTTTGGCCAATCAATGGCGTCAAGCAGATTTTTTTAAGTTAAACTGAATAAATCTATTTTTTGTAATAAGTATATCAGATTTAACAGCATTACATTTGTTCTCGTTTACTTAAAATCATGTCCCTCTCTAATACATGCATATATATTGGTGTACATGTCTGTTTTGTGTCGTAGACAGACAACATCGTAAATGACTGATAGCAGTGGGGCTTTTATTTTTCTTACATGACTTGTAGAAGAATTGTATTGTGTAAGTTGTATAATATGAATTGATGTACACAATTCTGTACATGACCGTCTGGTATCTGATTTAGAAATTGATGATCGTCAGGTCAAAATAATGTTAGGGTCTTTTAAAACAGATCAATTAAGGAAGGGAGCTACAGTAGTTATAGCAAGAACTTATAAGTTTACCTGCCCTTCTTTGGAGAAGTATTTAAAAATGGGGAAAATTAAAACAGTTTCGGGGGAATACTTATTTAGGAAAGTCAGTTTTTGCAAGAAAAAAGGTGAATATGTTATACGAGTGCTAGAGAAATTCTTATCTAGAATACTAGAAATTTTGGTTTGCATTCATCAGAAGGTGCTACTTCGGCTAGTAATCAAGGAGTTTGTGAAAGATTGTTGCAAAAACATGGTAGATGGCAGTCTGAGACATCTAAAATTTTATACATTAGACAAAATTAAACGAAGTGTGTCTTTAAATAAGTGTGTCATTTAGATCAATTATTCATCGACTTATGAAACGTATCCCGCTCTTTTTCTGTCGATAAATTAAAGTGAACCTGTAGTAGCCACTCCTACATTCTTATTCATATTTTATCCATTATGATTAAATATTTATGTTTGGCTGAATGGAATGAAAGAAAACATAACTTTGTCAACCGTGTTTCAAAACAATCCATTTTACACGGATGAATTAGCTTCGTATATATTTTTTTAATATTTAAACTTGCGATATATAACTCAAATAAAAATCGTGATTTAAAATGTACTTTTCTCCGTATATGATATACATGTATTATGGAGCAAAGAGCGTCAAGGGAGTTCATTTCATAACACGTTTAAATTTAGATGACTGGCTGAGCCGTTCGTTGATTTATTAAAAAAAGAAATACACCCTGTTACACGAATACCGGTTAAGATGTCATTTAAGGTCATTTTGCCTGTTTTTCACTTGTGTAAACGTGTTTTATTTATATTATTATATTTATTTTATATTTTAAAATAAAACAGATATGACTTTAACTTGAAGTGTTGAAAAAAAACAACAAATTAAATTAAAACTTAAATAGCATCGAACCGTTAATTATAGGTTAATAAATCAATGTACATGTATATACGAACAAGTTTGATGTCGTGATACTAGCATTCTTTTTTGCCGAAGAGCAAAAGAAATACAGCATCAACCAATTTCACTGGGGTGGGGAAGACGGGAGCTAGATGTAAACAATAATATAATATAAAATATAATATAAAAGATTTATAATATCGTATAAAAGATTTTCAGTATTCATTGGTTGGAAAAATAACAAATTGGTTAGGCCAAACATGACAGTCGACCAACATATTTTGCCAAGATGGTTTCAAAATTTTAAGAGAAAGAACTAGTTGCTATTGATGCCGATACACCACTAGGCAAATAGCTAATTAATATGGCTGGCATCTCATTAGTAGCATACAGTTCTCGATAAAGATGGATTGACAGATGGATTCCCAATCTGCTGAAAAGGACTCTCGTATAATAAAAGATATGTTGCTTAAACAGTCTCGAAATAGCAAAGCTCGCGCGTTCCTGGTGACGGGTCTTGGTTCAGTCTTTTTTGAGCCCCAGAACAATTTTTGTAGAGCTTAATGCTAGGAACATCCCAGGAAAATTTCATCACATTTAGGCCCAGTCGTTTCTGAGAAGTCGTTTGTATAAAAAGTTGACGACAGACACACGGACTGACGATGGCACGGGTGAGCTAAATCCCCAACAACAAAAAAAAAAACTATAATAATTATTATTTTCCTGGGACCATGTTATGGTAAGTGATCAATAAAAGAGACACAACAAGAAAGCTGATGTTTCAACACAGAGTTTACTCATCTTTAAATGTACATATATTTTTCTCAATACTATATATATATGAAAAATGTTTTTGTAACAACATTAAGATTTCAGACAGAAGTAAAAATCTTCCTTAAAAAAAAGCAGCGAAGATCTGAAGAACAAGTACTGTCGGAGGACAGTAACGCTCGACTATTCGAAAAGTTGTCATTGAGTATAATAATGCTTACCTATATGAATACATAAAATTGTTCGAAGAGGTACAAACCCTTCAGTAGTTATGGAGATACCAGCTTACAAGCAAAAATTTACCAAGTCGAAAAGGGGCATAATTATGCAAAAAAGTAGATCAGAGTTATGGGACTTGTGCCAATCATCTTAGATATCACAGAAAACAAGTGTGTGAAGTTTCAATCCATTCCCTTCAGTAGTTATGGAGATACCAGCTTACAAGCAAAAACTTAACCAAGAATTTCTAAGTCAAAAAAGGGGCATAATTATGCAAAAAAGCAAACAGAGTTATGGGACTTGTGCCATTTATCTTTGATAATCACAGAGAACATGTGTGTGAAGTTTCAATCCATTCCCTTCAGTAGTTATGGAGATACCAGCTTACAAGCAAAAACTTAACCAAGAATTTCTAAGTCAAAAAAGGGGCATAATTATGCAAAAAAGCAAACAGAGTTATGGGACTTGTGCCATTTATCTTTGATAATCACAGAGAACATGTGTGTGAAGTTTCAATCCATTCCCTTCAGTAGTTATGGAGATACCAGCTTACACGCAAAAACTTAACCAAGAATTTCTAAGTCGAAAAAGGGGCATAATTATGTAAAAAAAACAAATCAGAGTAATGGGACGTGTGCCAATAATCTTAGATAATCACCGAGAACAAGTGTGTGAAGTTTCAATCCATTCCCTACAGTAGTTATGGAGATACCAACTTACACGCAAAAACTTAACCACAGGGACGCCGACTGTGACTGCATTAGCTCGATTATTTTGCTTATAGTCGAGCTAAAAAATGTTTACAAAGAATCTAAACATAAAAATCAGGCAATTGATACACACAAACTTTACATGAAAATTGCACATCATAAGCGGGTTAACATTACATTTAATACAAATAAGCATTTTAGTGATAAAGGAAGATAACTCTATGCATTATGTTGCTTCATTCAGAAAACCACTACTTAATTTATCGAAAACAGTTCCTTATCAAATCATGTCTTTAAGGGACTTGAAAAGTTGCAGATGTAGTATTTTACTGTGCATACATGTAGGAATTTTGATTCACAAAGGGAGATTCTCCGGAAATTGAGTTTTCGATAAAGAGAGATAACTGAAAGATATGGTTTCATCAGTTTACACACATTTTAAATCACGGAAAGATAACATTGATGAGTAATTAAAACTGGCCTATCAGTCCTGGCTTAGTTACAACGTATAATACATTATTTTCATATACTTTGTTGGGAAACTAAGTCCTAAGACTATGTACCTTTCGTTCTCAAATTTGAGTTGTGGGCAAGACAACTTTCTGTGACAATTTGGTTTATGACAATCTACTTAACAAAGTTCATCCAACCCAGCTGCTTTAATGATATATGTAGAGATGGGTTGTGGTTAATTATGGTTGTGGTTAATGGTACCAACCCTGAAACCCACTGTTAACATAACCAGTGTGATCCCAAACTAGCTCTACTAATGTTACATAATATCCCCCTTTCTTATATTGTAATATCTACATTGGTTTCTTAGTGATCCTTCAGTAGACACCAAACATAACAAGAAATGTCTAACGACACATATGCCCCCTTCCTAGCCTTTGACTCACATTATTGGTAATTTTGTTATAGAAACTTGGAATTAAGGAAAAAAGAAAAATAATGAAGATTTTGTGATAAATAGTTTTCAAGATAATGAGTGGAAACCATTCTGACATTTAAGGCCCCTGTGACCTTGCCCTTTGAACTAGTGATCCAAAATCAATAGGGGACATCTACAATCACTATGTGAAATATGACGACTTTGTGATGAATACTTTTCAAGACAATCAGCGGAAACCATTCTGACATTTAAGGCCCCTGTGACCTTGACCTTTGACCCCAAAATCAATAGGGGTCATCTTCTAGTTATGACCATTCACTATGTGAAATATGAAGACTTTGTGATATATAGTTTTCAAAATAATCAGCGAAAACCATATGGTCTACCGATGGACAGACGGACATTAGCAAAACAATATACCCCCTCTTCTTCAAAGGGGGGGGGGCATAATTAACATCTTGTTATCAGCTGTACATGCAATCAATTAATTTGCGTTCTTTTGAAACTACATGTTTAATCTTTTTTTATCCATTTATCAAGAATGACAAGAAACACATTTATACCCTGTAGAGAATTGAATATTGATATCTCTAAACCAACATAAATTTAGTAATTAGCAATAATCATATACTAGTTAATACCATACACATGATGAATTTACTACACAATGTCAATTGTTAAAATAAACAAGAGCTGTCGGTAGGACAGCACGCTCGACTATTCTAAGTGCTTGATAGTAAAAGAGCCTTGATAATGTTAAATTTTTTAAGATCACAAAAGGTCTAATTTTTTTTAAAATAAATTCATGTTATAGGCCTTAAGAGAGAGTCTTATTATACAGTATTGGCTTGACTATTCGGAAGGTTATGTCACAAGGTTGTTTTATTGAGTATAATAATACTAATTACCTATGAATACATAAATTTGACAGAAAAGGTACAAAGGCTTCTAATTAAGATGTTTTATCAAGTAAATCACTGCTTTATTATTATGAATGCATAAAATTGTCCAAAAAAAAAGGCACAAACCCTTCAGTTGTAATTGAGATAACAGCTTACAAGCAAAACTTTACCATGAATTTCTAAGTTGAAAAAGGGGAGAAAAATCAGCCTAAATGCAAGATAGAATTATGGATCTTTGTCAGTGACCGACAATTATGACCCTTAATGCATATGTGAAGGTTTAAATAGAGGATATTTGTTTAGTTCAGTGTAAGATCGGAATATATTTCACCGAGTGAGCACCAAAAGGTATATTTCACGAGTGGCGCAGCCACGAGTGAAATATGAACTTTTGGTGTTCACAAGGTGAAATATATTTCGATCTTACACTGAACTAAACAAATTTTCTTTTTATTGTATGCAAAGAAACGTTTTAAAAAGACATTAAACCTAATACTGAATTAAAAGCGCGCCAAATAATAATACAACGTGACGTCATTTACGACGTCACGTCATTAAGTTGGTACCAAGTTCTGTGCACGCTGGTATTTCACTGAAACAACGTAAGGGGCTTAAATTCAAAACAGTGAAATTATAAAAGTGGTAATTTCACTGTTTCAAACAGTGAAATTACCAGTTTTATATCACTGATATATTTCTATAAACCACCGAAAAGCATGTAATAAATAAATATCTTTAATAGTTATTTTGATATGTAAAACTTGCATGTAAACATTAACCAAGAGACTAAGTAGAAAAGGGGATATGAATCAGCCTTAATGCAAGATAGAGTTATGGAACTTGGTCAGTGACATACAATTATGACCCTCCAATTATGACCCTAAGTGCATGTGTAAAGTTTCAAGTAAATATCTTTCAGTGTTTTTTTTTTCTTTATATAACTACTACCCTAAAACGGTACCATTCCCAATAGAAAATAGACATTAAAATTCCCAATTTCCAATGTTAAATTCCCAAAATGACTGTTCAAAATGCCCACAAGGCAAAGTGATTTTTCTAAAATCATTTAAATCCAACATATTCATATAAATCACCACTCAATAGTTCTATCTAGACAGTAGAAGCTGTTAGCTATCTTTATTCATGATGTCTAATCTCATTTGTAGCTGAAAAAATGCATTAAAAAAATTCCCAATTTTAGTCAAAATAACGCATTTTTTCCCAATCAGTCTGGTACCATCACCATTCCCAAAGTAGAGAAAAAAAACGCTGTCTTTGAAGACCTTTAACCAAAATTTCTAAGTTTCAAAAGGGCAAATAATACTTAAAATTTTGCAGGCAGAGTTATGCAATTTTGCAAACTGATGTACATTGTTACTAAATTTCAATTGAATATCTCAAGCAATAATTAAATATTTGACTTTACAAAAAAACTTTAACCAAAATTTCTAAGTTCCAAAGGGGCATAATTCTGTCAATATTATAGACAGAGTTATCCAACTTATCAATCTGATGTACCTTGTTACTATAAATAAGTATTGTAAGTTTCAATTGAATATCTCAAGCAATAATTGAGATATTTGACTTTACAAAAAACTTTAACCAAAATTTCTAAGTTAAAAAGGGGCATAATTCTGTCAATATTGTAGGCAGAGTTATCTAACTTGTCAATCTGATGTACCTTGTTACTATAAATAAGTATTGTAAGTTTCAATTGAATATCTCAAGTAATTATTGAGATATTTGACTTTACAAAAAACTTTAACCAAAATTTCTAAGTTAAAAAGGGGCATAATTCTGTCAATATTGTAGGCAGAGTTATCCAACTTGTCAATCTGATGTACCTTGTTACTATAAATAAGTATTGTAAGTTTCAATTGAATATCTTAAGTAATGATTGAGATATTTGACTTTACAAAAAACTTTAACCAAAATTTCTAAGTTAAAAAGGGGCATAATTCTGTCAATATTGTAGGCAGAGTTATCTAACTTGTCAATCTGATGTACCTTGTTACTATAAATAAGTATTGTAAGTTTCAATTGAATATCTCAAGTAATAATTGAGATATTTGACTTTACAAAAAACTTTAACCAACGCAGACGCCGACACGGACGCCGACGCGACTACAATAGCTCTCATATTCTTCGAATAGTCGAGCTAAAAATTGTAAAAATCACATTAGAATGACTGCTTAAAAGGTCCACACAACACTATGGATATTTCAATGGAAAAATATCTGTTAGAGATTCAAATATTTTCACAGAATCAGTTAAAAAAAAAATTATGCAAATTTTCTTCAGTGTTCCTAAGCAATGCCCACAAGAATTTTATTATTCACTGCATTGTCAGGACCTTTTTTAAGTCAACAACTTTAACCATTCAACCATTGACACCTTATTAACAATTTATTTTTCAGCACACAAATAACAAGTCATATAAAGACTGATGAAACCAGTATTTCATTCATTGTGTTTAATCATAGTGGTTTTGATGCCAGTGTACTTTATCTAGAATGCATCCAGTATGTGTTAACAAATTATGTGTACTGCTTTCTCACATATACATGTATTTGTCTTGTATCCAATCTGTAGGTAGGTTTAGCTTTGTTCATCATTTTGGAGATGCAGTGCAAGAATCAAATCAAAAGATTTCATTCTGTATTTTCATTTTCATTCTGATTTCATTATGACATAACTTTTCCCAATCAGTTATACATACAGAAAATTATGTTGTAGACTGCAGCTTTGTATTTTGCTACGAGCAGCGTTTTGATATCTTGCAAAAACCAAAGGTTTTCACCACTGATTCAGCTAATAAAAAAATAATAATTAAGTTACCAAGAAGAAAAAAAAAATCATTACAACAAATTCCATATTTTTCATGATAGAGAACAAAAAATCTGAATAAATTTGAACACTGTCTGATTATTAACATCATCTTTGCTGTAACAACCTTTCTATGGCTTGATTCACATCTCCAAATGTTGCAAGTAATGCTGAAATATACAAATATAATATATCAAAATATCTTATAATATCATGTATAAATTAGAGCTATCACTTAATGTGATTAATACCCCCCCCCTCGCAAGACTGCTTCGGAAATGAGGAAGTTACAAGTAACAGAATACCTTGTAAAAGAATTGAAATAGTGTTGTGGGCAATTAAAGATAGTTTTGGTTCTTGTGCGTTGCATTTCCTTTTTCACTACAGTTGACCATTGATGAAGTTTTATTGAATAACTCTGTTAGAGTTATGGTTCTTGAGCACTGCAATTCCTCTCATTGCGCTTGACCATTGTATGAAGTTGCATTGAATTCCAAACATTAGTTTTTAGCTCGACTTTTTAAAAAAAAAAAAATTGTTATAGTCCAGGCGGCGTTGCCATTGCCATCCGCAAACTTGTACCCTGGATCATAACTGTTTTAGTTCTTGGTGTATTGTCTTCATACTTGGCCACAACAACCCTTGGGACAAGACCTTTCAGTAGACTACACTAACCTTGATCTTCATCCATAAATGACCTTCACTTTCAAGGTCGAAAGTTCAAATTTTGCTTGTTCATGCTGTTATTGGCTGTAATTTTGTTATTTTTAAATGGATTGTCTTCAAACTTGAACATAATAATCTTCAAGGATAGCTCTTTAAAATAACCAGACAGACCTTGACCTTCGCTTATAAATGATCTTGACTTTGAAGGTCAAATTATTGAAATTTTCATTTTTTTGGCTGTAACTGGCTGTTACTTTGCTATTATTGAATGGATCGACTTCATATTATAACAAAACATTCTTAAGGACAAGACCTTCATGTTTATCAAACTCAAATTGACTTGGGCTCTTTAATGACCTTGACGGTTAAAAGGTTAAATTACTGAATTTTCACAGATTTGTGCATTAAATGTGTATATATATAATATTGGCCAAATTTAATATTGGTCAAAATTTTACTACATGGATCATTTTTAAGTAACAAAAATTACTGTATTGGAGGTCATTTTGTGTAGATTCTCAAGTCTAAATTGATAATATTTAACATGGAAAAAATGCCTACTTATAATGTATATTAATATATATACCCCCCCCCCCCCCCCCAAAAAAAAGAAAGACAACAAAACAAGAGGGCCATGATGGCCCTGAGGTCGCTCACCTGTATATAGGCCCCCCACCCCCGGGCCAATTTTTACCCAAGGGCTTTTATTTGTTTATTTGAACAGACTTGGTAGACACCCATAAGAAGATGTTTCATGTTAAACATCTAAGTTCTAGCTCATTGGCTTTTTTAAAAGAAGATTTTTAAAGTTTTTATTATACACATATAGTTAAAAACAATGACACCCCTGGGGCAGGGCCAGTTTTGACCCCCGGGCGTTTATTTTAACAAACTTTGTAGATATTTACTTAAAGATGTTTCATGTTTAATATCTAAACTCTAGCTATTTGGGTTTTTCCAAAGAAGATTTTTAAGTTTTTGCTATACACATTTAAGTAAAATCAATGACCCCCCCCCCCGGGCGGGGCCAGTTTTGACCCCAGGGCTTTTATTTGAACATACTTGGTAGACACCCATTAGAACATGTTTCATGCTAAATATCTTAGCTCTAGCTCTTTGAGTTCTTTAAAAGAAGATTTTTTAAGTTTTTACTATATGCATATAGGGAAAATCAATGACCCCCTGGGGCGGGGCCAATTTTGACCCCAGGGCTTTTATTTGAACAAACTTGGTAGACACTCATTAGAAGATGTTTCATGCTAAATATCTTAGCTCTAGCTCTTTGGGTTCTTTAAAAGAAGATTTTTTAAGTTTTTACTATATGCATATAGGGAAAATCTATGACCCCCTGGGGCGGGGTCAATTTTGACCCCAGGGCTTTAATTTGAACAAACTTGGTAGACACTCACTAGAAGATGTTTCATGCTTAATATCTTAGCTCTAGCTCTTTGGGTTCTTTAAAAGAAGATTTTTAAGTTTTTACTATATGCATATAGGGAAAATCAATGACCCCCTGGGGCGGGGCCAATTTTGACCCCAGGGCTTTTATTTGAACAAACTTGGTAGACACTCACTAGAAGATGTTTCATGCCAAATATCTAAGCTCTAGCTCTTATGGTTTTTTAAAAGAAGATATTTAAAGTTTTTTCTTTTGGTTGCCATGGCAACCAGAGTTCTGCATGGAATTCAATTCTTTGAACAATGTTTAAATGTGACCACCAAAGGAACATTCCTGTGAAGTTTGGATGAAATTGGCTCAGTGGTTTATGAGGATATGTCATTGAAAGCAAAAGTTTACGGATGGACGGACGCCGGACGAAAAGCGATCACAAAAGCTCACCCTGTCACTTTGTGACAGGTGAGCTAAAAACCAAACAAATAACAAGATGCGCCGCAATGCAACGAAAACCAGGTTTTCAACGACCAAGTCTTGATGTGACAGCAATCAATAGGTCAAAGTGCACTGAAGTTATTGAGTAGAAACTGAAAATTCTATTGTAAGCAAATTACCTTGACCTTGCTCCCAGATATCTAAGTGGCAATCCAAAGCTGCCACTCAGCAAGTTTGGTGTCAAAAGGTCAAAGCAAACTCAAGTTATAACATGAAAACTTAATACATTAACCTTGATCACAGACACCTGGGTAGCAATCCCAAGCTGCCTCTTGATATAAGCTATCCATACACCAAGTTTGGTGTCACTAGGCCAAAGCAAACTCAAGTTATTGTGCAGAAACTGAATTTCTATTTTTAGTAACAGTGACCTTGACCTAGATCACAGACACCTGGGTAGCAATCCCAAGCTGCCTCTTGATATAAGCTATCCATACACCAAGTTTGGTGTCAATAGGCCAAAGCAAGCTCAAGTTATTGAGCAGAAACTGAATTTCTATTTTTAGTAACAGTGACCTTGATCACAGACACCTGGGTAGCAATCCCAAGCTGCCTCTTGATATAAGCTATCCATACACCACGCTAGGTGTCAATAGGCCAAAGCAAGCTCAAGTTATTGAGCTGAAACTGAATTTCTATTTTTAGTAACAGTGACCTTGACCTTGATTACAGACACCTGGGTAGCAATCCCAAGCTGCCTCTTGATATAAGCTACCTACACACCAAGTTTGGTGTCAATAGGCCAAAGCAAACTAAAGTTATTGAGCAGAAACCAAAAGTTGACGCCCGCCTGCCCGCCGACTTCCGCATTACAATAACCCGGTTTTCGTTGAAAACCTGGTTAAAAACGTATTATAAACCTTTAAAAAGCATTCAATAATTGACACATCAAGTATGTTATTCTTATCAGTTGTGTAGAGCAATTTTTAGCGCTGTGAAATTACATCCACTGATGTCACGCTTCAGTGCACAGGCTATAAACAATGCTGTGTGTAATACACGTGACATTATTATTCAGTGTGATTTGAACATATGTAGGATTTGATAGGTAATTAGGGGTGATTTTAAGGTAATTATTATTGCATAGCTGAAAATCCCATGTGGCAAATTGACTCGTATGCAGATTTTATCATGTGTCAAATTCAAATGAAAATTCAAAAAGGAAACGTTAAGATTTGTTCAAACATTTCTTTGTTTGCTTTTAGAAAAAGTAAAGTCGAGCATTGCCCCGCCCGGCAAGGAAAAGGAACAAAAGGCAATAACTCTGCAAATACTGAAGATGAAGTTATGGTTATTGTACATGCACTTCCTCTCATTGCACTTGACCATTGTATGAAGTTGTATTAAATTCTTGTTTTCAAGGTATGCACTGGAAAAGGAAAAGTAACAAAGGGCAATAACTATGTAATTAATTCAAATAGAGTTATGGTTCTTGTTCAATGCATGTCATCTCACTGCCCTTGACCATTGTATGAAGTTGTTTTGAATTCCAACCAGTAGTTTTCAAGTTATGCTCCTGAAAAGGAAAAGTAACAAAGGGAAATAACTCTGTAATTAGTCAAGATGGAGTTATGGTTCTTGAACACTGCACTTCCTCTCAATGTGCTTGACCATTTATGAAGTTGTATTGAATTCCAACCATTAGTTATGCTCCAGACAAGGAAAATGCAACGGACCAACCACTGGGTGACTCCTATATACCCCCCACAACTTTGTTTGTTTGTTGTTTTTTTTTTTTGGGGGGGGGGGTATAATAATCAAGGGTAGATTTTTCTGTATAATAACAAACAATTAATATGTTAATAGTTGAATGTTTGGTCTTTGTCCTGCTTTGAATTTAAATCAGTACATTAAAAAATTTCAGTTTGAACTAGAACTGCCACTGTCATGGCTTTAACACCCCAGCATAACACTTTGTCAGAATCAACAGTGGTCATTTAAAGCTCAAGGACAACCTCCCTGCCAAATCTTAGGGTAGTAAGCCAGTGCATTGCTAAATTATATATTTTACATGTTTTCTGTGGCAAAGATAACTTGGGCGGACAAGTTTTTTTCAATCAAGGCCCTTGTGACCTTGACCTTTGATCCAGTGACCTAAAAATCAATAAATGTTACCTAATGGTCATGATCAACCTCCATGCCAAATGTCAAAGGAATCTTAAGTTATTAGGCGGACAAGCTTTTTCAATCAAGGCTCCTGTGACCTTGACCTTTGACTCAGTGACCTCAAATTCCATAGGGGTCATCAACTCATCATGACTAACCTCTATGCCAAATATGAAGACTGTGGGTCAAAGGAATCTTAAGTTATTGGGCGGACAAGAAAAAAGCTGATTCCAGTATACCCCCCTAAAACTTTGTTGTGGAGGGGTATTTAAAATTTTTTTTTAAACTGACAAGCTAAATGTAAAACTTACAGCAGTAAAAACTTCAATTGACCATCATTTAAAGTTTTTAAATATTAGGATTTGAACTTTGAGAATTGCAAGTTAATATTTCAAATGCTATTGCACTCCTCTTTAACCTTTACCCTGCTGAAGTCTTTGACACCAGTATAAAAGCCAGGCCAGCCTATACATCCGTGCAGTCTGACCAGGCTCTATAATGTTGGCTGGCCAACTTCAAATTCTTTACTTAATATATCTAAAATTGATAATGGACTGTTCCAAAAATGGAAATTAGAAAAGTCCATTTAAGAAATTCTGCAGGTTAAGGGTTAATAACATCTATCTACCTATAATCTTACCATGATGTCTTAAAGATTTTTTTCAGTTATGCTCTTGACAATAATTAAGCATGAGAAATAACCAAGGCCAATAACTTAAAAAATTTTGGTGGGTTATTTAGGAAATAGAGATCAATTCTGAGTGCATTGTTGTAGAATAATGCACGGTTTCAGTTCAAATGCGTAGTAATATAATCACGAAGGCCGATAGGCCTGAGTGATTAATTACAAAGAATTTGAACGAATAACGTGCATTATTTAAGAAATAATATATCCAAAACAGTGATTTTATTGCTCAATAACATCACTGTTTGGACAAACAGTGATTTTATCAAGCGATAAAATCACCAATTTGGATATATTATTTCGATTCTAACACGACATCAACAAATAAATGCTGCCGTACCTGGTATTGAGCAAAATTGTGCCTGATTTGTTTCCGTACTTATTCTCAGCACGTTGGATTTTTGGCGGTTACGTCACGTGTATAATGATTACGTCACATGTCTAAATATAGAACGTCAAACTGTGACTCTGTTGCATAATAACACACACTTTCGGTTCTTCTATGTTCAATAGGGAAAAATGCGGGTCGTGTTAGAATATACAATAATGCACGAAGAATTAATATCTATTTCCATTCTAACACGTCAAGAAAAATTAGAATTATTATTATAAAGTTGGACTTTATGTTTGGTGGTTAAATTTGTTTTCGCCCGAGAGTTTCCCATAGAAACGTTCTTTAAAGGCTGTTCCAGTGGGTTGAAAAAAACTGTCGTTAAATCTACCGTGTGTAGAAACATTTTGAGAATAACAAATTTTGAAAACTTTGGAAAAACTTTGTTTGTTTATTTTATTTCACTTTATAATTTTTCAAGCGAAATACAAATTAGTAAAAGTGAAATAAATGTAAAACTTAACTCACTTGCGACATTAAAATAGCGTACTTGATTTGATTGTTTTGCACGTGCTGTTTGGCGCTACATTGTGACTTCACGTAAACAACACTTAAAACGTCTGTACAGCGTTAACGACTGAATTAAAGATATTGGTGTTCGGATTCATTTTCTTAGTTAGACCATTTTCTTTCATTCTAGATAGCTTTCACAACAAAATTCGACAAAAAATGTTTTTATTTATCAGATTTTTTAAACAAAATGGCGCCCTCAATGTGAAAATACACAGGGAGGTAATAAGAACGGTGAGTGCATTGTTGAAGAATAATGCACGCTTCGGGCCTTCTTTGTTTACATAGAAAAAAATCCGATAGTGTTAGAATGTTCTTCAACACTACACCCTTCCATAAAATTTATCCATCTATTAAGTTAAGCTGATATCCCAAATACTTTTTCAGCTATGCTACAGACAAAAATGTGGCATGGAATGTCAGAGGAGAAATAAAACATTTGTAGTAAAATATATTTTACTGCACCAAAACTTTAATCTGAAATCTTTGTATAGTCAAGCTCAAAAGACAAGTACCTCTTATATTTGCTTCTCTGTCCACAAAACCCATCATTGCAAGCTGGTCTAATTGTGTGGCAAATCTCTGTTCAGGCGGCTGATTCTAGAAACATTCAAACACATTCAACAATAATTTTCAGATAAGAACAAGAAAATGTTTGTTAAACACAAATGCCCCTGGCTCAGATTCATGTCAGTAACAATATTTCAAAAGATATTTACCCATTCACTCAGTTAAGGACAGAAAATAGTGAAAAAAAATAATAAAAAAATGTTGCTAAGACTTGTGATGAAGTTGAAAAATATTTCAACTTTATTGTATTTATATATATATATATATATATATATTATAAGTTATAAAGATTATTGACAGGTTATATGGCCCTATATAAATGGCTGTTCGTAAATATAACCCAAGCCATATAACATGTCAGGAATCATTAGAACGAATTTATAATACAGCAAGCATTGTTTTGATAAGAAAAAGTAAGATATCTTCATAAATCGACAAAGCCTAGTATAAATTTATATACACGTCACGATTATCCAATGAAAATCGACGTTACAAACGTGCAGTAATATAAATATATATATATATATATACAAGGGGTTATCCAAAAATTTGTGGACTAACTTTGTTGCGTAAAATATATTTGAGATATTGATTTGAAATTCTTACACTGCTTAGAAGAATAAATAACAAATAAACACAGAAAAATTCATGTTAGTAGCTTCTTATATTACAACAATATTTAATTTTACATAAACACATGTCGGCGACAGCGGCGCACTCCAAAAAGTTATTGACGTCAACGTCATATTTAACATACAACTTACGGTATGCTTCAACGTTATGCAGTCAATAACCCTTACTGCTTCACAAAGTAATGTCCATCACTAAATTGTTTATGCCACTTAAACACTAATGATATTGAAATTTTATTTTCTCTGTTCGCCTGCTGTTTCTTTTCAAATGTTTTTGTTAGTGTCATTCCCAAATTACAACAAAATTTTATAATCACGCTATTTACTAATTTCTGCGTGTCCATCATTTTCCCGTTGTACACAATATCCTCGTCTGGCGTTTCTGGCGCTTTCAAAAAAAATTAACGGAAATGCCATCCATAATTTTAAAGAATTACTTAAATGACATCATAGAAGAAATATGTGATGTTTAGCTGGTTTTCTACGTCAATTAGTAGTTTTTTAGCAAAAAATATACAATGACTAACTGCGCTTTTCTACCCTGCGCGGGTGCCATGTATGTGCTTATTTAAAAGCAATATAAAATCATTATTTATTGACGCAGTTAACTGTTTGTTTCAGAACGTGTTGATAATATTCTGCAATGTATGCTGATAAAATTTCATTACAATACACCTTGACGTTCAAAAGATATTTAAAAAGTCCATGAATTTTTGGATAACCCCTCGTATGTATGTATATATACAACATGTAAATGCTAGACTTTAACTTTGAACCCAGCGACCCCAAACTACATCCAAACTTATAAGACCACCTTACGTATGTTCCTTGTAAGTATGAGACATTGAGTGATAAAAAAACAAAACAACAAAGGCTGTATAAAAAATTGTAAAAATCGATTTTTAGCATTAATGACCTTGACCCAAACAACCCCTAACTCAACCCAAAAGAAGAGGACCTCCCTCTGCAATTTGTATTAAACATGAATGACATCAACTTTAAAATAATATAAACCATACAAGGCCCTATTTTCAAAGTAATAACAAGAGCTGTCTGTAGGACAGCACGCTCGACTATTCTAAGTGCTTGATAGTAAAAGAGCCTTTATATTGTTTAATTTTTTAAGTTCACAAAAGGGCTAATTTTTTTTTATAAATTCATGTTATAGGCCTAAGAGAGAGTCTAATTATACAGTATTGGCTTGACTATTTGGAAGGTAATGTCACAAGGGTGTTTTATTGAGTATAATAATACTAATTACCTATGAATAAATAAATTTGACAGAAAAGGTACAAAGGCTTGTTATTAAGATGTTTTATCAAGTAAATCACTGCTTTATTATTATGAATGCATAAAATTGTCCCGAAAAAGGCACAAACCCTTCAGTAGTTATTGAGATAACAACTTACAAGAAAAACTTAACCATGAATTTCTAAGTTGAAAAAGGGGAGAAAAATCAGCCTAAATGCAAGATAGAATTATGGATCTTTGTCAGTGACCTACAATTATGACCCTAAATGCATATGTGAAGTTTTTAATGAATATCTTTAATAGTTATTGAGATATGTAAAACTTGCATGTAAACATTAACCAAGAGACTAAGTAGAAAAGGGGATATGAATCAGCCTTAATGCAAGATAGAGTTATGGAACTTGGTCAGTGACATACAATTATGACCCTCCAATTATGACCCTAAGTGCATGTGTAAAGTTTCAAGTAAATATCTTTGAAGACCTTTAATCTTTAACCAAAATTTCTAAGTTTCAAAGGGGCGAATAATTCTGCAAATATTGCAGGCAGAGTTATGCAATTTTGCCAACTGATGTACATTATTACTATAAAAAAGTATTTTAAATTTCAATTGAATATCTCAAGCAATAATTGAGATATTTGACTTTACAAAAAAACTTTAACCAAAATTTCTAAGTTCCAAAGGGGCATACTTCTGTTAATATTGTAGGCAGAGTTATCCAACTTGTCAATGTGATGCACCTTGTTACTATAAATAAGTATTGTAAGTTTCAATTGAATATCTGAAGCAATAATTGAGATATTTGACTTTACAAAAAACTTTAACCAAAATTTCTAAGTTAAAAAGGGGCATAATTCTGTCAATATTGTAGGCAGAGTTATCCAACTTGTCAATCTGATGTACCTTGTTACTATAAATAAGTATTGTAAGTTTCAATTGAATATCTCAAGCATTGATCGAGATATTTGACTTTACAAAAAACTTTAACCAAAATTTCTAAGTTAAAAAGGGGCATAATTCTGTCAATATTGTAGGCAGAGTTATCCAACTTGTCAATCTGATGGGCCTTGTTACTATAAATAAGTATTGTAAGTTTCAATTGAATATCTCAAGTAATAATTGAGATATTTGACTTTACAAAAAACTTTAACCAACGCAGACGCCGACGCGGACGCCGACGCCGGGGCGACTACAATAGCTCTCATATTCTTCGAATAGTCGAGCTAAAAAGGAATTTAACTGGGAAAAATGGATAGCACAGTTATACAACTTGGCAATATCATGTACCATGTATTGATAAGCAAGTGTGGTAATTATGAAGCTATTAGTATAGATAGAACTTAAGATATTTCCAACTTGCTGTTTTAAGTTAACCAAAATATTCATTTTCTAAGTGCTGAAAAGGGCAATAACTTAATAAAAATTGAAGCCATAGTTATGTTACTTGCCCAGATAATGTACATTGTGTTGATAAGTAAGTCTGTAAAGTATGAAGCCATTGGTACGGGTAGTACGTAAGAAAAATCAAACTTGCTGTTTTAGGTTAACCTTGTACGGACAGATGGACGGACATCTGGCCGAAATGGAATAAGGGGCTTTTTCTTTTGTTATTTATGGAGGCTATTCGTTGCCAAAAATCAAGCTTTGTTGATCTGAGTTGATCAGTTTGTTAACTGACAAAATACAATTGTATTTCTTTGTATGTAAACTCCAATGGTGCATTCTTGGTTTAACATTGTTAAACGACAAAACATTAACCCATTACTTCATATACACGCCTTTTAACGCCTTTTTCACCCCCCCCCCCTTTTGTTGTCTCAAATGATGAAAAAATGCCTTATTTAGGCCCCAAACACTTGTTTTTGTTTGAGAAATGTTGTTAAAAAAAGTGACCCTTTTTTCGGCGCGGCCCCCCAACCAAAGATACATCAGGGGGTTGCCAGAAGGGGGATGTGCCCCCTTCTGTTTGGGGGGGTTTGAAGGGGGGCGGAGTCCCCCTCATCGCCAAGAAAATTTTGGACTTGTGAGAGGCTGTAAATGACCCCAGATTGATCATAAGGTAACGTGTAACCAACGCTGAAAAGCATTTGACTCTATCTCAATCCATTGAGAAGTTGCAGCACTTTGAAATCAATTTTGATGGAAAAAATCAAGGCAAAATAGTGATTTTTGGCAATTTTGAGATGTCCCCTCATTGCCATGGTAACAGAAAATTAAGGCCTGAGCATGTTGTTGCAAGGACAATGGTCCAGTCAACATTTGTGCCAAGTTTGATTAGTGTTGAAGCAGTTTTTATAGTATTATAGCAATTTGAACTTGTAACGGGAGACTTTTCAATGAAAACAGCCATTTTTCACAAAATGCTCATGAAGCAATGGGTTAACTGTTTTTTTCTGATAGTAACAATACCAAGTGTTCACCATAACATGCAAAGCAGAAGTTACTTTCTCAGATTTACATTGTCAAACCATCAGGATTCGGATCAGCATAATCCAGCTTTACACGTTTTTCAATAGGAGATTAAAATAAGCTCCACCCATTTACCCGCCCACTACATCATTTCAGTATTTACCGTCAGCAACAAGAAGGAAACAAGAACACGCAGCGGCGTAGTTTCCGTTTACCACACCTTTTAGGTGTTTAGTTATTGACCAAACATAATTCATTTGCATGATTGCCATTCTATGCCTTTATTCAATCAACATCAGCAGACTTAAATTATGATTATAGGCATTATCAGTTTTAAAACGTTGTAGACATCACATTTCCTAGAATTTTTTTTTAAGAAACCCTCCTCACCAGGTTACTTACTGTCTTAGGTTAAATATTTTTCAAGGAAGTAATAACTATTGATAAGACTATATTCAACGACAAATAAATTTTACTGAGGGCATTCCAATTTGAATAGGAATAAGTAACATTGACAGTTATGCTGCTACCTTACCACTTACAAATTTTCAAGTCAACATCTGTTAGAGATTTCGATCAATTAAATACTAATAAATACCAAATTCTGGCTGTTGTCTTTCCTAGTAGTAGCATTTACTAGTAACCTTAATTCTAGCATTTAACTTGACAAGAAAAAACTTTTAACAATAGTAAAATTAAAACAAAATTGTATGTACCCTTTTGTACATAACTTTTTATTTTTACCATACTGTATAGATATATTTTCTCATTTTTACCAATTTTTTTCAATAATTGAGTACAAAGGTTGGTTATCAATTTATGTATACCTTGTTTATTTTATCTCTAAGAATGCCATCACTTACAAAACTTAATATATTCTGTGTAGTACTTAATGTACATAAAGTTCTACGACAGTAAGCCTGTGTCTTCTTTCTTTAAAGGACTATATTGGGTTGTAGAAAAACCCAATAGCTATGGAACTATTCAAAGGTTACTTTCGATAATTCCGTTGTATAACCAAAAACTTGTGAATTTGTCCCATTTTAATGTTGAAGTGTATCCTAGAATCTCTGTTTACCTCCACTGGGAGATATTTTGAGTCATAGGATTTGAATTAGCCTTTTATTATTTAATATATGTAAGATGAAGTACAGGTTAAGATCTTATCTTATGCACTGTACTGAATCAATGACAGCTCTTAGATCTGTGTATACATGCTGTCAATAGCTGTTACCTAGACTTGTTGTCTTTCTGATCAAATACCATGGGGCATAAAAACATTAATCACTAATAACCGAGATAAGACTTATTTTCCATATAGATCTACAAATGAATTTTGTATTCTTGCTTAGAAGCAAATTGTTAAGTGAATTTATATGAAATGTCTTAGCATGTAGTCTTTACTATTCTCATGTATAATTGTGTTAAGGCCAGTTGTCAAACATGTCCTATTTTTGAGTAAACATATAAGTCTTTCATTTAAAATCAATTTGTTAATTCAGTATTGATATAAGAAGAAACTGTGAAAGTTCAATTATAAAAACTCTTACAGCAGTGCCTTGTGACATCATATTCATCATTTGTGACATCATGTTTGTAAAAGGATCATGACCACCAGGTGTCTGTGGATTAGTGGTTGGATCTGAACCCACAGATGGTGTTGTTGTGGTGCCGGTTGTGGTAGAAGTGGAGCTCTGACTTGTTGGAGATGCTGTGGTGGTTGAGGTTGTTGGGGTTGTAGTGCTTGCACCACCCATTCCTGGTGGCAAGCTAAAATTAGCACCCATTCCCATGCTGCAGATATACAAAGGACAATATATAACAAAGTTAGACCAATGTCTATTGTATTTTAAATAAGTGACTCATTCTTTCCCTTATGTCAAATTCTTACATTGTTAATAACTCAGCTGTAGACAAAACAATCGCATAACTAGAAATGTGTCCATAGGACACGGGTGCCCCCACACTCTACTGTTTTGTCAATGTTACGACATTAAGTCAAATATTTTTTAGACTACATGTGCCACAAGTTGAAAACTAAAAATCGTTTACTAAGTCAAGGGAAAGAACTTTACAAATACTGAATAAATCCACAAGCTAACCCAAAGGTGCATAAGTACATGGCTGACCAACATTCTTGTAAACTTTCAGACCTACAGGTCAAATATTTTTTGAGTAATGCATGAACAAGTTGAAAATTGCAAATTTATACTAAGTCAAGGGCAATAACTCTAACAAAACTGAAACAAGATTGCATTTGTGAAAAATGCTATGCCACCACATTAATACAACACTAAATAGTAATGTAGGAATAGATTTTTTTTTGTTTCTATACAAATGAAGATTGCCATAATGCATAGATCAATGATCTATCTAATTCTTATTATTAGATTAGTGGTTAAATCATTCTATTGTTATTCAAATGAAAGATCAGAGTAGGAATCTATCAATGCAGGTGAGTCTAGTGAATTTGGTGGTGAAGGTCATACTTCACATGGCCAAAATTCCATGACTGTACATTAAAGGACAACACAGTAAGACACTTTGTCAAAATCTAGGCCAGCTGATATCAAAGTTCACTTTCAGGGCACTAGACAACTTTTGGGGACAGGTACCCATACCCTCAGGAAGGGGAATTTTGCGTCATTTTAAGACAAAAAGGGGAAATTTTTAAGTCATATACAAGTTCTTTAAATTTAAGTTTTACACTTACTCTTGGCACAATTTCCTCCCATTACTTACAATAGCTAGTATATTTATTACTATAGACCTAACAAATAAAACATAATATGAAGTTGTTCTTGAAGTTTCTGTATTCTTTATTGTTTTCTTATTGCACTTGACTGACTCAGACATCAATCAGAGCTCTAGATATATGTTTTTGGCAAAGAGTTTTTTACCCCTCAAATTCTAGAGTGAGGAGTAAATGCAAATTCTGAAAAGGTTAAGGGTTAAACAAGTATAATGCATTTTTGTTTAAAATAAAAAATTCAAACTGACAGTTGTTTTTGTTTTTAAAAAACGTGTACAACAAGCAATTACAGTAAAGTCTCGTTTTATGACTGACCCTAAATTGCGGCAATTCAACATTATGTGACCGCTTTTTTCCGGTCCCGATTTTTTCCCTATATAATTCAATGGTCGTAAGGCCCGAAATTACGACCGACCCGCTACTACATATTACCACCGCTTTTAAAGGTCCAAATTCTCACTTAACAATACAAAAGGGGTCCCATAAAACAACCACTTATTATCCCTGCTCGCTAAATTGAACATGTCACCCATTATCTCCAATATACAATTTTACAACACTTAACGAAAACCGCCATGAAGGTGTGAACGATTTACGGTACACGGAAGAGATGTTTAAAATATTAATATAAAGTGTCTTATAGATGAGATTATCAATGAGATTAGCGGTCTGTAATTAAAGGAATGGGATTAAATGTGTCGATGTTCCTTTCAATTTATTATTTTGAATTGATGCGAACCGTTATGTTAACAACACACACTTTCGGATAGGTAGGTTATTTCGTCTATGTTAAATAAAAATAGATATTTTACAATTCGGAGTCAGAACTTTTACAACTTTTATAAATTTAATAACAATTGTCGGGTGAAATAAAATTCGGAATCATAAACGGAAAATAATTTATTCAGAACAAAAAATAAAATTGATTCATGAGGTCTTAAATGGCATTAGAGATTAAAACAATTACAGATCTTTACGATTTATTTTTATTTAAACTAAACAACGTATTTTGTTTACTTTTAGGTCCGGATAATCCTGAAACAAAAGGATGAGCATTTAGATAGCTGGGGGAATAATGCATCCAACAAATATGATTATGCAAGAGATCACCAGAACTCAACAACTGAACAACAATGATTATAATGAAATTTTCTTGTTAAAACTGTATGTCTTTTTTAGTTGTATAAAATGATGCATAAATGTGATAATTTCAATAAATCATCTTTTTGTTGAAAAAAATTCATGTTAATTGGTTTATGTTATTCAAACAGTTATGTTTCAATGATCCCAATCGCTAATGATAACTCCTACTCCAGTAAAAATTAGCATGGGTCTCCAAATTAAGACCAACTCGATAATAAGACCAATTTTATCAGGACCCAAAAGTGGTCTCAATAGCGAGACTTTACTGTATCATAGTATTGCAAGCAATCCGTAAGTCCCCTACCGGTTAGAACCCCAGCAACATTCTGATGGGCCATTGGCCATTCAATTATACCATGAAGTGAATGAATGATTATGACATGAATGAACTTAAATCTTTTGAGTTCTAAGTTTGTCTATATCATAGAAATGTGCTAGTTTCCCTGCCAAGTAAGGAAATTATGTTTATACATGTACAACAGATAATCAAAAGGTCCCATTTTCTCAGGATGAATAAGTATAACCAATGTTTTAACTTTTCTCTATTTTAAGTAAATTGTTGGAAAAAAAATCTTTAAGTGATCTCAGGAAACAGTTTTTATGAACAGACAGACAGACAGAAGGAGACTCTAAAGTTATTTTTTGAAACATCCCTGTTACCTATGATGTGGGACTTTGAAGTAAATCCTATAAGGAATGAAGAAGTTGGGAGTAAACAATACCAATTTCTCGAAAAAAGTTCAAGGGGGGCAGTATTCTGAAAAGTTAAGTATTGAACCTTCTCACATATGTTGAGTGATAATAAGAAACATACATATAAGGTTGGAGCAGATAAATTAAGAAATAAATAAGTAATTATTAAAAAAATTAAAATAAATTTTTTTTCATGAAAACTCTAAGTAAAAGGGAGGTAATTCTGATAATTTTTGTGCTAGAGTTGTAAACCTTGTCACATAATGATGTGGATGATGACCAGAAACTAACATTTAAAGTTTGAAGTAAATACCTTAAGAAATAAAAATATTTTCAGTACTTTTTAAGTTATTGCGGGATCCAGTATTGTGGATGGACGGACAGACGGACGGAGGGTAAACCTAAAGTCCCCTCCGGTTAAACCGGTAGGGGACTAAAAATATTGATTCAGTGCAACAAGCTCTGGAAAGGCAGACTTTCCTAGGCAAGGGTATGTTGGTACCCAAGTTATGGAAACACAGCAAAATTATTTCATATTAGTTTTCTTTATTTTGTTTATATTTGTTGACATGTTGTTGAAAATGTATCACACTATTTTGCAATCTGCACTGGTCAGTTCTTAAACTATTTTCTAGTTTCTACATATTTCTGTTTGAAACAATTATAACAATAAGAATTGAAATAAGAATTAAATAAAAACAAGAGCCACCGCCGGGCGGGGGCAACGCTCGACTTTTTACTTTTTCTAAAAGCAAACATAGAAAGGCTTGAACATATCTTAACGTTTCCTTTTTATAAATTTAGTTGTTCACTTGTCACATGAATAGAAACACGCAATTCTATAAATAGAAACACGCAATTCAATAAATAGAAAGACGCAATTCTATAGATAGAAACACGCAATTCTATAAATAGTAACAAGCAATTCTATAAAAAGTAACACACAATTCTATAAATAGTAACATGCAATTCTATAAATAGAAACACGCAATTCTATAAATAGTAACACGCAATTCTATAAATAGCACAATTCTATAAATAGCAACGCGCAATTCTATAAATAGTACACGCAATTCTATAAATAGAAACACGTAATTCTAAAAATAGTAAACACGCAATTCTATATATAGTAACACGCAATTCTATATATAGTAACACGCAATTCTATAAATAGTAACACGCAATTCAATAAATAGTAACACGCAATTCTAAAAATAGTAACACGCATTTCTATAAATAGAAACACGCAATTCTATAAATAGTAACACGCAATTCTAAAAAAAGTAACACTCAATTCTATAAATAGTAACACGCAATTCTAAAAAAAGTAACACGCAATTCTAAAAATAGAAACACGCAATTCTATAAATAGAAACATGCAATTCCAAAAATAGTAACACACAATTCTATAAATAGAAACACGCAATTCTATAAATAGAAACACGCAATTCTAAAAATAGTAACACACAATTCTATAAATAGCAACACACAATTCTAAAAATAGTATCATGCAATTCTAAAAATAGAAATACGCAATTCTATAAATAGTAACACGCAATTCTAAAACACACATATAGTTAAAACCAATGACACCCCTGGGGCGGGGCCAATTTTGACCCCAGGGCTTTTATTTGAACAAACTTTGAAGACATTTACTAGAAGATGTTTCATGCTTAATATCTAAACTCTAGCTATTTGGGTTTTTTCAAAGAAGATTTTTAAGTTTTTGTTATACAAATATAAGGAATATCAATAACAACCGGTGCGGGGCCAATTTTGACTCCAGGGCTTTTATTTGAACAAACTTTGTAGACTCTCACTAGAAGATGTTTCATGCTTAATATCTAAACTCTAGCTATTTTGGTTTTTTCAAAGGAGATTTTTTAAGTTTTTGCTATATACATATAAGGAAAATCAATGACCCCCGGGGCGGGGCAAATTTTGACCCCAGGGCTTTTATTTGAACAAACTTGGTAGACACCAATTAGAACATGTTTCTTGCTAAATATCTTAGCTCTAGCTCTTTGAGTTCTTTAAAAGAAGATTTTTAAAATTTTTACTATATGCATATAGGGAAAATCAAAGACCCCCTGGGGCGGGGCCCACCAGTTTTGACCCCAGGGCTTTTATTTGAACAAACTTGGTAGACACCAATTAGAACATGTTTCATGCAAAATATCTTAGCTCTAGCTATTTGGGTTTGATC